ATAAGTTTCTTGCTTCAATCAAAAACGGTTATTTTTGCGTGTTTTCTATTCGTTTTGTCTAATGACATGCGTGTTACTTTTTATCGCAGTAAAGTGCATGTGGTACCAGTAAATAAATCTGATTTATATAGAACACCAACCTATACATTAGTGACATGAGTATATTATAACAACATATTGCGTCCAAGCGTTGGATATGACGATTAACTCACCGGTAACTATGGCCACGGCTGGTATATTCCAACGATGAACAATACACATGCACTGTGTTATTATTTCCATGGTTACACACAGCAATGGAGAGTCAATGCAATCAGAGAGACGAAAACCCCATAAATCGTCATAATAATCTGTCATACAACTTAAATTTATTTGTATTCAATTATTTTAATATTTAAGCGAGAATTGATGGTTTTGTTTATTCAAGTATTGGCCTATTTCGCATTTGATGTACTGGAATAGCTTACCTTTTTACCACATTCGAACGATATAATGTTTCCTGACAAAATGTTTGATAAAAACGTTTTTTTTTTTTTTATTCGTGACATGTCAGAATGAGATTATGAATGACGTCACATTCAATCATGGCAGAAACGTTCTTATCCATTTCTTAAATTCATTTACTCAACCTTTGACCCCGCACGTGACGATACACAAAAAAGGCTTACCGGATACTGTAAGAAATTGTCAGTACTTTATTTTGATGAAACTCAGACGAAACACATCTAAATACACTCTAAATACATCGTCGTCTATATTATCTAGTTAATACAACATCCCTATTGGTCGAGCCATCACTGACGTCAAAATAAGCGAGTGAGTGAAAGGAATGTGGTTTAAATCAATCGACAACTGTGTTTCTATAATCCTTATTCATGGACAAATACAAATTAGAATAATATTGACTCTTTGAACTGCATTCGTGTCACCCACTTACATTACGGAATCGCCTCGTCACGAAGAATTTTATGTATACAGAGCGCTTCGAAGACGCACCAAACGAGCATAAAACGATGTTTTTATAACATTTATGGTTCATCAGGGAGTTGTGTGTTGTCAGCCACCTGACATCTTGGCTTCATGGAATACATACCAAATACACTACATTATGCTCACTTGAGTCGCTATAAAGATGCAAAATAATTTATATATAAAACTGTATATATATGTCCAACATAAATATGTATCGTTCTAAAATTCTAAAAAACTCAATAATAAATGATCATAGAAAATATTACAAAATTAATTTTAAACTGACAAACGTATCTGTTTTTACTCGCAATTCCATTGCCTAGTGTGTTAGTGCTAGTTATTCATCAATATACTTTAAAGCGGGAGGGTCGTCCCCATGCGCACGCGCTGGAATTGAGTCCCAATAATGACGATAACAACACACGCTAAAACGCAAAGGCTCATGGGTAGACGCTTGTTTGTAAGCAATGTCACGCTATGGCCATCCGACGCATGCGTAGGTGGCGACTCCCCCGCTTTAACAAACTATTGAGTTATCTTCATAAGCGGACTCGAAAAAAGGAAAACATTGACTGAAGGATAATCCGGATTTATTCATTGGTTCGTCTTAGTTTTCCTGAGTAATTAATGATGAACAGAATTTGATGAATGCCTCATTACAAGCTAAACTGTAAAGGAATTACAATTGTACATGACCATGACACGTGTCTCCAGGCGACCCACACTTATTATCACGATATTAGATCGGTTAACAACCCCAAGCTGTAAAGTCGGTGTTGGGAAATCTGGTGCTCGTTTGTGTTATAAATAGGGTTTCCGACGAAGTATAATTATACTAGTATTAATATTGGAGAATGTACACCCATCCTCGTTGCTACTAACATGTCCATTTTCACACCCTGGTCACGACAATATTGAATAGCCAGTATTTTCATGTAGAACCGAGTTTGCAGAGATGTGGTATTGTGAATGCTTATATATTTATTATGTAGCCTGTATTTATTAGATTTTAGATGCATATTTACCCATAATTACTACTATTTCCTTCAACAAACTAGTACACGAGATCGAAATATTCACATATCTTCCGAAAGGAAGAGCCTGGCAAGTAGACAACATGTACATTTTGTTTCATTGCTGAGTGTGCAACCGATTTAGATTCCACAGTGTCTGTGATGCTGAACGGACACGATACACATTATGCCAAACTGTAAATTTATTTTCATTCAAAATGTATTTTGCTAATCATTGAAAATAAAATTTAGCGAAAATGTTTTCCTAAGAATATTTTTTCCAGATGAAAGAAAGTATTTTACATTACATAGATTGTATCAAATCAGTTGATTTAGAACAAAGCCTAGAAATTTTCCTTGCATCATTCTTTCAAATAGGTCATTTTGGTAATGTCACATACCCTGAAGTACATTGTATGGTATAAAAATGGGTCGACTCCTTTCACTGTAAGTGTGATATTCCATTAACCTGCCGAATATGCGTCTGTATATGTCGTTTTTATTTAAATGAAACATTCAAGCAAAATATTCCCAAATGTTGATGGACATGCAAACAATGTTATATGTTTTCAATTTATATTTCCATTATAATTAACTCGCATGTTAAATTTGGCGTAAACAAATATGACGATGAAAAGTCCTTGTACATAATAAATGATATGTATTCTAGTTCCCATGGGACGACGCTTATGATACTGGTGGGTTGATTGTTTATTATCTCTGCCAGTTCATCTATGTTATCTTTAAAAACAAGCGATAAACCAGGATATATATATATTTTTCAATTCGCGTGTGCCCTTTCCCCATTACCAGTTTATTTCTTTCTAAGCACGCCAGAGGCAATGTTTCTATTAAAGAATACATTAAAAACGACTCAGATTCTCAGAAAACACTGCTGTGACAATTTCAGGAAACCACACGTCGATTAAATAGATATGTAAGGAAGATTTGAAGAGAAGTTTTGATCAGCTCCCAAACTGTTAAAATAACTATAGCCATGGAACTAAAATCTCCGAGATGAACAACGCTTTTTTCCTTTTCCTGTATCTTAGCAGTGTTCACGAAATCAACGCTATACTCATAAAATTATTCGTGACACGGTGTTTTCGTTAACATCTACGTGATGAAATCTTTCGAAAAATAACCGTAATTTCACCGATGATCGAAAAAATAAGGATTATGAAAATCACTGTTGTAAACAACAATTAACACGCTTGAAGGGATGGCCTTGAATTAGTCTCGGCGAGCGTCCATTTTCTTATGATATAAATGGGACTTGGCCTCATTTATCGAAGATTGCATCTAGTTATAGAACTCATGATCTATCAGCCACCTACATCAGACATACAGACACACTGGCAGACAGACTGATAAATTAATAAATATACGAATAAAAAAATGTATAAAACAACGCCCGGATTACATTATTAGAAATTCACATTCTTTCTCTTAAATATTTCCAGTTAAATTTAAATGTTGCTGCATTAACAGACTAATCACCTAGGATATGTTATTGCCAATTATTATTAGAATAATATTGTATGTTCATTTAAATGTGACATTTAGATGTAAGTTCGATGTTCACCTTAAAAATATTGAAAGTTTTATTAAGTCGTGACTCATCTACGTAGTATCCCTATTACATTTAACTCAACGTGAATCAGAGTATACTCCTAATGACTGACTGTAACCGTGTCCAATGCCTGTATGGTTTCACGCTGACAATGCCACTTAGTACATTAATATCTGAATTAGTTCCCCGTAAAACGTAATCGTTTCCTTTCGAATATATACCATTCTGGGAATCCTGGCGTGGTTGATTCACAAATACGCATGGAGTGATCATCACACTCCAAGCGATTGTCAACTAAATTGCGGTTTTAGGACATACACTGACACTATATGCAGTATGCACCATAATTTTCCACGATACAGTAATATCCGTGCTAAATTTCCCAAGTTAAATACGTATATCTTGTACCACAGCATCGCACTAATCTTTTTGCTGCATAACTGTGACGTAATATTATCGAATAATGGCAGTTTATTATTTATTTCATGCAATATACATCAATATGACGACTTCAACACCCCCCCCCCCGCCAATTTAGTAAACTTCTAACAACATCCTCGACATGTTCAGAAATATATATATATATATATATTTACAATAATTAAAGACACTTTTTAATACAGCTTTTCTAAAACTCAGCAACAATAGGATGACATGTTCAGACGACAATGCGTATATAACAATTCACAGCTCAACGGATCTGCGTGGTATTCCATGCTGCGCCGTATTGGAATAACAACTGTCGCACGAGATAATAAGGTTATGAAGCCATAGTGGGTGCATGAAAGACACCGTTTAACAGACTTCTTTCAGTCTGCTTCATTAACACAATAGTAATACCACTGATAAATTGACAGTATTTTCGTAAATGATAAAAAGTTTCACATTCGTTCATACTACACATTTCATGTTTAGATATTTACACAGAAAACAACTTTATTTACACTTCTATTATAAATATATAATGTCGTTTATGAACACCGAAAAGAGTAATCTGGTATATACAACGGGAAATAATGATACTATTCACAGTTCAATTTTATCGGTGCCTAATAAATCTAAATTTTGTTTTCGAACATAGTCATTTTGGCTGACGACCGATGGTAGACTTCATCGACTATGTCTGGATTAGGAAATCAACACCACCGATAACATTGTCAGTTTCCTGGGATAAGGAGAAAAACAAGACAAGCACAATTTGAGAATATGCACAGATATATAATAATGTACTTTAAATTAAGTCAAGTCACGGTGTAGATGATAACGCAAAAAAAAAAAAAAAAAAAAAATGCACCCAATGTTGTTGTTTTTTTTAAATTAAGTGGTTTATATATTCCACAAATAACCAAATGATAAACATATTTTAACTTTCCGACATGTCATTTATGTCCAAGTCTTTTTAAAATTATATAAACTACTTAATAAGTAGATAATGCAAAATGCTAGGTTGCCGTGGAAATGGTGGATATCTGTGTATTTGCACGTGTTGTTGACATGTTATCGACTTTGGATGTTTGCGACATTGCAGTCGTGTCCGGACCCACCCTAGCGTTTTTGTAGAAACACGGGAATATGCGTACAAATTCTTTGCGAAAGTTCTCATTGAAATACGCATAAAGCACGGGGTTGACCCAGCTGTTACAACAGAAAATGAAAAACACAGTATTTACCGGTACAGTGGAATAAATAAGTGGTTTAGAAGGAAGGGACGGAACATACTGATAATACAACTGTAATACGTGATACGGCGCCCAGGTAATGGCGAATTGTAAGACTACAAATCCCAACATCTTTATTGCTCTCTTTTTGTTGCGATTAGAAGAGTTACTTGGGCTTTTACCGAACCATAGTGTAGTTATCATGACAGAATACAAAACAAATAAAACTATTAATGGAATAATGTAAAATATGATGAAATCACTGAGTCGAATCCAGGCATCAATTTCCACCTTCTCATACAGTACCCCACACGTATGCTCAATGTACGTGTCATTGCCGGAGCCTTTCAACTTTGGATTCAGTCCCACGACGAAGAATACACCGATTGAGTAAATTAATCCGACACCCCAAACAATACCACAGCCGACCATGGCATTCTGAAGAGTCATTCTAGGTCGTAACGGCTGTACAATCGCGCGGTAACGATCCGCGCCTATGCAAATCAGAGACAAGGTCGTGGCGCACAATGAACAGCTTTGCAAATACGCCACTAGTTTGCATAACGCGTCGTTGTGCAGGTGACTGAAGTAACCCCATAAGGCCACGTGTTGCGGTACTGTCACCAAGCCGACAAGGATATCGGAGAGCGACAGGGAAACGATGAACATGTTTGTGGCGGAGTGTCTCAGTTTAGGCTGACGGATGACGGCGACGATGACCCAGATGTTCCCTCCGAGAATAAGAATCACAAATAGTATCCCGAATATGAGAACCACTTCCTTTGGCGTGTCGAGAGCGTACACTAGCTCCCAGAACTCCGCAGTTTGAAGAGGATCAATAATCGGAGCCAGCGTTGTCGACATATTGTCAGCCTCTGTCATGTTGTATTGAGTTCAAAGAAATCTGTAAAGAAACATATAGAAGTAGATAAATACAACTTCGTAGACAATTTGAATATATGAATCTAACTTAAAGCAATCCATGTAATTATTTCTAAATATGCGGGAATGTCTACACGAATCAATGTTAATATATTAATATTCTCAAAAAGTATTTATATGTACTTAAGAAAATTAATCCTCTGACAAGTACATGTGACCTCACAGACAATGTTTTTAAGCAAAATCGACTAAACTAGAGTTGAGTTTGACACAGTTCTGCCCAGGTAGCACAATCAATTTGCATTTTTGCAATATGTTATTTTTACATAATTAATAAATTTATTGATCATGAGATTCATTATGTCATCTGCCTCCAACAAAAGCCAGTCATTTTTAATTCGGACCGACTGTAAATCATGTTTTCACTCGCGAAACCTCGATAATTTTTCGTACACTAGATTTCTGATATCGCTCCCCAAGAACTAGTATTAGAGAAAAATTAACACACATGTAAACCGAAAATTGCAGTTGGAAACTACGACGTTGAATTTTAGGAAGCGGTAGTTAAAACATCATTATACATATACGGGAATTGAATTCTGTTGTGCGTCAATCAATTTAACATTGTGGGATCATTAGGATTGGTGTTACGCATTCCAAAGGGACTATCATCATTTGAACACGTTTATACAATTCTCAGATTTGTTGATTGATGGTTTTGTCCTTGTACCATGAATCATGGGTTTGTAATAACTTTTTGAGTGATTGGCACCTGAAATACTTTTGTAAATCAATAAATCAATAAATCAATCAACAAATCAATAAATCAATAAATAAATAGATAAATAAATAAATAAAACGAATGCCAGAGACAAAAAAGCATTGACGCTTCAATACATGGTCATTTTAGACACTCAATCATCGCATAAAAAGGTTTATAGTAATTTATTACCAAGTTAACCGGTAATTACAAGGTCAGATAGTACAATTGATATATGGAAAATGTCAAGAGTGTGTCTAATGTTGGACCTGAATCTCCCGAGACAGCATTTCATTTCCGAAGTGATTTGATTTTTCCTTCCGTATAATAATCACTATTTCATTTGTTAGACAACTGTTTCAGTTTATCACTATGTAAATGCAGATTGTGCATTCAACATTGAAACGAACACCTGATATATGCAGGTGTTCGTTCTAATGTTGATTACCACACAACCAATGTTATCATCTATAGAGCTGAATAAATATTATATGCTCTACCGAACTACACCTGGAACGATTGCGAAATTAACAAAACGACCCCAATTTCCGGGATCAAACACGTCTCGGAAGCTTAAATATTCCGTGATCACTGTCACATTGATACAGGTCGAAGGTCAGAGAATAATCCCGGAATACGATTTAATAGTTAACATTTTGACCCCATTTCAAATGTATATGTATGGGGCATGCTTATATCCCCTGGGAACCAATTATAATTGCTTGGCTTTTCTCGCTAATCGGATCGTTTCCCTTTTGACAATTACTGTCTTTCACTAATAGAAGTCATAGGCTGTTTTCGAGTGTTTTTCATGGCATTTAATCATCACGCTGCGACATAATGGTCAGCCTTGAACACATAATAAGTTTGTGCTTGGACATAATGCAGACATTTGTCACAAAGAATTGGTAATCATATTTCTGATCCCATATTGGTCTTTTGAGCCGGGAGCGAACAACAATTTGCGCTGGAAATCGTTTCCTGAAATGATTATCGCACAGATCTGGCGTAACCATCGGACTTCTGTTCAAATTCAAGATTTGAAACAACAACAACAGCTTACGCATACCGTACATACATATACTTAGATTGTTATAATATACTAGTTTTTATACTAAACCCATGGATTCGCTAAGGGAAACCGAAATAGGGACTGCTTTATAATTTACTTTTACATAAAAAATAAATAACTATAAATACTTTCCCATTACTAAAATGGAGTCTTACATGTTATGTACATATACATTTTTTTTATTAAATGCATTACAAGTTCAATAACAAATACTACAAGTAGCCTTCGATGATTCGTAAAATAGAGTAGCTAAAACAAATCGGTTCCTATCGACTTGTTCATCAACTACTGGGTAATGGACGTGCAACGTTATTTTTGTGTCTAAATCATCAAACATTCCACTTTACAAAACTGTTTATCAATGGGTAAAATATAAATCTTTTAAGCAATAAACTAATGTCAACATGGGTTTCTGCCTTCACTCGGACCCTTAAAACATGTGTCATGCATGCCTCGGACATTATGGGGGGAGGGGTATGTGGACAAAACATGTCCACACAGCTCTCTGTACCTGTATATACGATTTGACTTAAAATTACACAGTAGTGACAGTCCCGAGTTTGTGCCAGTCAGAGGGATCAGAGTGATCGCAATAGTACCAATTTTATCCACAGTTGTTAGACGCTAACTAAATAAATCAAACTATGCTCAGTTATATTGACGTTGGGCTTGACACAAATGGTGTAAAACAAAGAAAACTAATTGAAAAAAAACAGGTGACAACTTACGAATAACAGCTTAGATTAACTATTAACTAGTAACTATTGACAACATTATCAGAAAGTATAAATTCAAATCAGAAAACATTTTATTCAGCGAGGTTGCAGGTGAAAATAAATTAACCATTAGCACTTTAACTACTCTTAAAAAAAGATTTTTTACGAGATTTTACGACATGAAATTGGTCTGTCATGAATCGGGGTCTGTAGCAAACGTTCACATATATTACAAATTTAACTTCCGATTTTATCTAACAACTTGAACGATCAGAGGAAAATAAATGTATTTACAACGATACAGATATAACTGAAAATGATATTCAGCCAAAGCCGATTGAAAGATAAACATGACGAACTGTGTGTCAATATATAGTTTCACATAATACCAAGCCTTTAACAGATTTTAACATGTGCACCCTTTAATACAGTTTTCAGCCAAGCACACAATATAAGGTGTGAGAATCAAAGTAACACGTGTACATTATGTTTCAATGTAAACTGCGTGATGTTTATATATCACAAAAAAGTAAAACTAAATCAGTTTTATCCCACACTGTGTTCACGTGGTAATTAATACCCCATTGTAGCTGACCCAAACACGTCTGTGCCATGCTTGCGCGGCGGTGTAAACTGATTCGTGAAGTTCAACAAAATCTTTTTAGGCACAGGCACGATCAAATAATCTGGGCTATAACATCATACCTAATACAAACTCATAGTCATTTACCATGAAGAAAAAATGTTCCAGTCACGACCACATGTACTGTCATTATACACAATGTTTACACCATGGTGTGCTGAGCTCAGAATCTCGTCATCGGAGAATACAGTGTGTTTAAGCTTGTATATTCCCAGAAAATATATTAGAATAATTTGCGTAATTTAATCACTTATTATATTGATGAATAATATTATATTTTGAAATATATTTACATACAATAATTACAGACTTTAGGCACTAAGAGAAATTGTCCCGTACGAGAGAGTTATATACATTAGCGCAACTTACTCGCCTGATTGTTCCGATGAATGAGTTCTGTATCTAGTCGATATCAATGCTGTGACTAAGAGTAGATATCACAGGCGGTGTTGATGATGTTGGACACGATGGTATTATATACGGCTGTTATACAGAACCCCAGACCACAAAATGAAATGTAATGCCCGCTGTTGACAACACAGATATATGCCTCGATGACAGTCACACATTGCATTGTTTACATGGTACCATATGTTGCTTGGGCAGCGTTTGATAACCCGATAGTCACGGTATCTGCGGAAGACTTTATACCCGCGGTTACCATGGCAACGATGAAACCACCATCATATATCTTCCATTGAACCAATCAGAGTACTGATGATTTATATTCGCACCAGCAGCTCATTAACATTAGGATTTTCTTCGGAAAAAATAAGGATTTAGAAAGACACAACGGGAAAGATGTTTAGCCTGGTACGCGTGAGTAGTTTGATTCTCTTCATCAGTGGACAGCGTATTGATGATAACGATGAGTTGCACGATGCCCCGTATGTTAGTTATAATGAAATTTTACAATAGATGGACAACTAGTTGCATTTGTCGCTTACATGTTACATGGCATGCCGTCGGGCATCATATGTTATGCAATTTTACGCTTTTCGTTTCATACAATCGGCGTGTTCGTCGACATACGTCATTTTGATTACAAATCATTTATTTTACATTCACCGATTCAAGTATGTAGGTAATAATACTCCAATAACATTAACGTGTCGTTTTTGAAAACATGTATAAGTGTTCAGTTATCTTATAAAAACTGACTCGATTGGACGAGTAGGAGAAATGTCAATTAACAAGATAATTTAAATATCACGTGATGTGTGCTGAATACTTGTATTTTAATAACACTTTTCTGTATTATATAAACTATTATTGTATTGTCGACAAAATTGAGGCTTGGGACCTTTAGCATGTAAAGTAACGTGTGTACTATTTATACTATACTAACAGCTACGACATTCAACAGATATTCATTCCGGATGTCTTTTTCCTATAGCTGAACATCTCCGAGAAGTTCCATGGTTCGGTGGTGATCGTGTTTTTAGCATCTTACAGTGTCCTTGACGATCAAAGATGAACTATATTACTAAGTCGATTTTCTTCGTTTCCTTTATAGATATTAGTGCCCACCCTTATTTTTATGGGTAATATTGCCACTATATGTGAGCGAAATTCGGTTATAGAACATTGCGTACTTCCTAGGCTGGTTGTGTTAGTTCGCGCTGCGAAGCAGAATTCGAAAAGCAATGTAGACTGGACTCATTGTAATGCAGTCTTAATCGATAACCATCACAATAGCAGTAGCTTTTGGTCAGTATAAGCCAAAAAACGTCGTAATTTTACAAGTTACTCATTACAGTACAACTTTAACTACAGTTGCGTGAGCTGCGAAACTGTTTGCCTGTTTGA